AATTTCAAATTAAATTTCAAAATACAAATTTTATGCTGAAGATTTGGTTTTTTTTTGAAAATATTCATCATTCGAGGCTGAATCCGAATATGTTATTAAAAATGTTCCATGTCTTAACAGTGATTTTAAAACCTGTTTTATCAACTTGCGGTCCGGACGGATCCCAGGTGGGCAACAAGTGATAGTCCTATAGGTGGGCGGATGAGGGTTAAAGGAAGACCCATATCAGTTCTTTCAAAGTTAGGAATTTTTTTGTTCTAAAGGAACACTGTGTGTAGTAACAATAATAATTCTGTAACCCAGTCAAAACAAAGAATTAAGAGATGAAATTTTCTTTTGTACTTTCGCCAATAGTCTGCTAATATTACAAAAATTTGAGCTTATATATATTATATCTTTAGTTATAATAGTTAGAGTTATATCTTTCTAAATTCGCTTGTTATTGAACTTTTCTTCTTGAAGGAAAACAATGTTTTTTCAAACCGCACAATTTTCAATCGTAACATTTTTTTTTTATTAGAGGTGATATTGCGTGCATTTTTTCCTGCTGGTACGGGAAGAAAACAAAGAAGATAATTAGCTTTGTCACGCGCGGGCTTTCCTGTTTGTGAGACAAAGAAAGACTAGAGAACAAACTAGATGCCAACTGCACCTTACAAAGATCGGAAGTCGACTGAGTGAACATTTGTGAGAAGTAAGTAAGACAGAAACGAACTTATATAACGCTCAAATTTGCTGTAATATTAGCAGACTATTAGCAAAAGGTCACTCGCCTGTAATGCGATGCCCTCCGCTAAACAAATAGGTAAATAAAAAGACATAAACTTAAGAACAAAACAAAAGAGTAAAAATTTATCAGATCGGATCAGGTTCGGGTTAAGATGTTGTCGGGTCGGGTTTGGGTTACATTTTCTTAACCCGTGTAGGTCTCTAAATGTAATTATGGGTGCTGAAAAATTATCTATTCGCTGTTTCGATTATGATTATTGTTATATAGAAACGTCTGACTGATGATTCATTCTAAGCTATGACCTATCATACCGCACAAGATGGATAAATCGTGTGATGTATATAACAGCAAATTCAAAACATATTTGGAGCCTCTCGAAAGCGTCCAAAAACTTACAGTTCAAGTTATGTAAAGCTTTCTATCGCAAGATTTTAAAAATAGTCTTTCGAGGTTCCAGTTATTAGCATTAAATATAAATAGACATCCTCAGTGTACAGGTCATTCGCATATATTCCAGTATCCTTACTGTAGCACTGATTCTGTTGTTAACTTTTTTTTAATAAGAACTAATAAAGACTGGTAACAGTTTCCTGACAGTATTAACACTAGTACTTCGCTTTCTCATTTCTCATACAGTATTTCTTCTCATTTCCATTAACGTACAAATATAAGTACCCAGCATGTCGAAAACGGTGTAATTAATTGTCTATTAAATACCAGTTAGTAGCTAATGAAATAATCAATAAATGGCCATTTTTACATCTTATAAATGAGAACGTTTTAAAGCCTTAAAATGACATTTTTTAACAAGCTGAAAACTGTCCGAAAATAGGCAGTTATGAACGGCATCATGTAATGGTCCTTTTTACACTATTACCGACTGTTAACGGTCAATTATCGAACATTTTCTTTGATGAATTTTTTTGATTAGTATACCAAATATAGTAATTTCCAAAATTTTTGACATTTTTAGTTAGAGATCTACGGTGTTGTCAATGGCACCAGATCCAACACCAGCGACGATTTCCACTAGACAAGTTTCGATGATTTATACAATCTGGGAAAAGAAAAATTTGCAAATTTCTTCCAAATTTCGGTGGTATATTGTATATACATATATCAGTCATGATTGCAAAATGAAAGGATGGATGAAACAGCCATTTTAAATGTCAGTTTTTTCACTGTATACTTTGCAATTGAAGAATGGTCTTTTAATAGCCATTTAATTGTGACAGTTATTTTATATTTTAGGATGCACAGTCAAATGCCTGTTTTTTGCCATTATAACAGCTAAAGAATTTACAGTAAACAGTGACTGTCTGTTAATTGCCTTTTTCTCAACATTTTGTGGTATGTTAAAGCCTTTATCAACAACAGACAATACACTGACTATTACCTGGCAATGTTTTAACAGTTATTTGGGTGTTAAAAGCCAGTTTTTTTTTGGCATACATTTAAAACGCATTACATGGCTTATTAAACGTCGCGTGGGATAATCTCTCACTCCAATTTACTGATGTTTATCTATATCATGTTGTGTTGCTGTTTTTCTTTTTGTTTCTTTATTCTACTTCAATTCTTTTTTTGTCTTACTCACTGTAAAGGTCTTTGACGTATTATAAACTAGCACTTGTGTCACGTTTTTATCAATAACTTTATCACTTCTTTTTATTATATCTTTTTTATGAGAGATTGGCAAATATAAATTTAAGTTCAAATTGAAGTAAAACTAAGATTATTTCTCCACATGACTGCTATGACGAGATTTTTTTCATTTAATTTATTGCTAATAAATAAAAAAAGATTTGTTTTATTTGAAATCACATTATCGATCAGCTATATTTACAACATTTTATAACAGTTCATATACAGAAGAATGACAAGAAAGAAAATAAACAAAAACTCTTTAGTAGAAATTTGTAAAAAAAATTTTATTCTATTCGATGTCATTAAGAAAAAAAAGGCAAAAGATTATATTCAGAGAAGCCTATTTAAGACCATATAGTGTGTTTATTTGAGCATAATGGTCTTAAATCCTTGTTTCTCTGAATATCATTCAATAAAATTGAAAAAGTATATAATCGACTAGATTGTAACATGTCCTCATTCGTTACATGAATGATTCTAATTGTGGAATTCAGAAAAAAGAAGTAGCATCCTATATAATGACTCAAAATCTGTAAATCTAATTCCACTAACTAAACATATTTTCTAACATTTTAACAACATAGTGATTAGGATTCAATTTTATCTCTTATATTGTTCTGATTACTTTATCAAGCGTAAGGTTACTTCTACGGTATAAAAAGGTTAACAAAACAACAATGCAGAGCTAAAACTATTGTTTTTGATGGCACAAATAACCACCAGTACCAGCTGGCTCAAACATAAAGGAAGATGCGATTGCGCATATTATAAACACGACAATAAATGAAACAATTAAACAAATGTCAAGCACGCACAACACACACATACACACAAATATTATTACAGACAAAAATTGTGAAAAACAGTGGAAGAAGAAAATAGCGTTTAAAAACAAAAATCACTCGGCTCTCTTTATTGTTGCTTGTATTGACACTAACTGATATTTAAATCAAGATAAATTGCCACTAATGGACCAATAATAAACTGACATGAACCAATAATTTTAAGAATTGTCTTTTTTTGTTTCAGATATCAGTCAGAAGAATAGCTTTCTTGTCATGAACGTTTAAAAATATTTGAAAAATCTAAACAAACAAAAAAAATTGATACACGAAACATTATGGAGTGTTCATCTCGCTAAGGCTTTTTAAAAAAAAAGACAACTAAACTGTCTCTAGAAGTCGACTCCGTGGTTTTATTGGACAAAATTACTATGAATATTATGAATATATAATTTCAAGTTGCCATTCACGGAAATTATCGAATGTAAACAAAAAATTTTTTTCTTACGTTTCATAAATGATGCATGAAGGTAATTTGCCGGCAAATAATGAATAGTAAGCCAGGCTAATGCCAATATTAAAATTGTCAATGCATGAATTCTAAAAATATGAGAAAAAATATCTTCATTATTTGTATCTAATGCCTTCATGTCTGCCTAATCTTATTGTATATAAAACTGCTTATGAGGAAAGGTTTCCTTCACTCTCACCCTGTATACTTACAATATTAGTAATATTGAAATATATGCAAAATGAAGATTCCTATTTGAGTTTAACGTGTGAGAGTGTACAGTCGAATACAACGCATAACCCGCGCATAATCTTCCCTCATTCGACAAAAACTTTTTGAAGAATTAAAATATGTACGCAGACAGACTACTCAATCATTTTACTTGAGCAATCCTTGAATTTCGATAGACAGTTAACGGACTGGTAAAATTATATATTCACCTTGATGACACAACAAACGAAACGGCATTTTTTATCGAAGATAATACCAACAGAATAATAGCGAATATTGTTAAAAGAATATTGACAAGTTTACTAATAATCCGATGAGTATTCTCTTCTGTTTCAATTCCATGACTTTGATGTTGTTCCACTTTAGCAGTCTAAATTAAATAAACCATTAAATTTTTAATGAAGACGAAAACAAAAAATAGTCATAGTGAAAATTAATGGATTTAGAAAATTAATTTTATTAATATGATAGTGAATTAGTCGAATGAATGTGACATACCCTAGTATCGAGTTTATCTAATCTGTCAAGCATTTCATTCCAATATTCATTAAATTTATAAACTAATTTCTCCTCTAAATGTCTTGAATCTGTTCTTATTGTTCGAATTTCGACTTGATGTAAATCGGTCAAATCATTGACTTCACCATTTAAACGATTAATTTGTTCACGTTGACTATCATTTAAATTAGTTAATTGATCGATTTGTTTCTATATGAGAAGGAACAGTATAGATAGTAAAAAAAAAACAAATGAATATTTTTATTTTATTTTTACAAAACATACCTGCATATCATTCACTTTATTTTCTAATCGTTCAATTGCTTTTTGTACTAAGTCAAATTTAGCTGATGTCTGATCATTTGTGAACTAAAATACAGAATGACTGTTTTTGATCAATATAGAACAGCTTAAATGATAAGTAAGAGTGTATGTTTTTAAAAAAAAATAGTAATTAAAAAAATTTTTAAATTGTTCTATACAAACCGGAACATTTCTTCGTCCAAATCCATCGTATGATTGTTCTGATATACGATCATTTAATTCACTATTTGATTCGTCACTAAAATAAAAAATTTCTAATTATTAAAAGTCATAGTTAAATCAAAAAATTGAAAGTAACTTACGTGGTTCGTCTTTTCTGTGATGGAGATCGATCATCGACTGGTCGTACAGTATCATGAAGAAAATTATCCCCTATAAAAGACAAATAGTATAAAAAGAATTTTAACTATACAAATTGTTATAATTAATTACACACCAAAAGAGTAAGATAATCAATATAGAGGCAATAACACAATTTTCATTTAAATTAAGATAATTTCACACGTATATAGATAGCTCGATTTAGTTTAAGAAATAAATCAATTGTACAAATAGAATTATCATATGAATTGGAAAAAAATACTTACAATTTGTATAAAAAGATGAATGTAATGTTTCTAAACCTGGAAAAGTCAGAATTATATAGAAAATTGATTTGAGTTCATGGAAAATCAATATAAAAAACGAAATTTTTGGACATGTATTTTGTAGATTTTTAGTTATACTATTTATATTTTTTGAGTTTGATGTGAAATTTTTTTAAGAAAATCAAAATTTTATTTTTTCTTGTTTTTTTACCTGTTGCTACGTCTGGTCGTCGACTTGATCTTGAGAATGGATTTGGTTCTGAATCGTACAGATATTCATCTAAAACAAAAATAGAATACAATTAATAACTTTAAAATTTTTTTAGAAAATATGTTATATCAACAAAAAACGCATGAAAATTTATTGTACATACGACTAGAATTAATATAAAATTGACTGTTTCCAATTTCATTTGACATGGAATTAGACATTGACGATTGTCCTCCAGTATTATTTGCATATTTATCTAATCCATCCGGTGTTGCTGTGAAAGTTGGATTAGCTGATGTTGGTGGTGTTTGACTCAAATTATTATTATTTACCGTTGAAGATATAATTGTTAGAGTTGTTGTAGGAGATGAAGATGTTCGATTTAACGTTGATGATCCTACATTTAATAAATCTCCAACATCTTGACCATCGTGACGATGTTTTCCACCACCAGTAGTTACTTTAATTGTCTGTTTAACAATATTATTAACGATATCTTTCGATGTATGATTAGGAATATCGCCCGCATTTATACGTTGAATATCGTTTTGATAGGATATTATTTTTTTTTCCAATCCTTTTTTAGTATCTTGATATGTACGAATTTTCTTTTCGAATGCTTGTTTTGTTGATAATGATAATGCTTCACCTGAACTAGTTGGTACGCTTAATCGAAGATATTCAGCAATATTTTCTTGAAACGAAAAAATAAATAAATAGATACAGGGTGAACCAAAAAAACCTATCCCCTCTATATTTATTGTCTTTCTTGTGTACAAATATAATTGAACTTTTTACCTCGAGTAAAAAGCAAAGATTTTTGGACAAAATGGGATGCCTCCGAGCTCTCGAAGAATTTTTCTCATGAAACAGCATTCAATTTACGAAAGGCCCTAAGAGCGTATTTTTCTTGTTTTACCATTAATTTTGATGGTATGGGATCTTCTGTAAATTGAATGCTGTTTCATGAGAAAAGCTCTTAGAGAGCTCGAAGACGTCTCATTTTGTCCAGAAATCTTTGCTCTACTTGATTAAACTAATGATAAAAAGTTCAATTCTATTTATACACAAGAAAGTCAATAAATATAGAGAAGATAAGTTATTTTTAGCCCACCCTGTAGATGTGCTAAAAAAAAAGACAACTTACTATCAAGTCCTTCTTTAGCATCATTAAACAATCGATGAGCTCTATCTAATTTAACTTCGACTTTTGTTAAAGCAATTTGTTTTTTCTTTTCTAACGAATCTAAATCTGATGTAGATAAATTTTTTTTGTGTAAGATATTTGATTTTTGATGAATTATCATTACTTGTAGTAGCGGTATCCGTGTCAAATTCATTATGTTGATGAGACCAGTTGAATTTACCACTCCCCATCTAGAATAATAATAAAAAAAAAACTAATAATTTTAATTAAATAATTAATTTTTAAAAAATATTATACGTACACTATCTGATAAATTATTATGTGATATATTTTCATTATTATGTATTTTTGAGCGTTGAGAAGAAGAATTATGTCCCGGTAATGAATGTGAATTACCAGCTTTTGGCAATGTTGTCGTTACTGGTGCAGTCATTATTAAAGATAATATAGTTGAATTATTAGAATCATTTAGACGATTTTGTGATTGTTCAAGTGATGTCAATGTTTTTACTGGTGATTGCTTTTGTTGTGAAGAATTAGTTGTCGAAAGTGTATTAGAAGCTATAATTGTTTTAGGATTAGTTGATGATATTGTTGGTGTTATACCATTTAATCGAAGATTTTCAGGACTCGATTTTCGACGATTTCGATTACGTCTGAAAATAGAGATAAAAAATTATTAGATATCTATTTAAAAAATATGAAACGATTATTTTTTACAAATCACCATTCTCAATAGATTAGATCTAGTTACTAAAACAGTATCAAAATATCAGATATATTATATATATATATATATACACTCTATTACGAAATACTATTCTATTAACTATAATTACATACACATGTTAGATAACGAACGAGCATCCGTTCTCACAAAGAATAAGCTCAATTATAATGGTAACTAAATAACAGAAGGAAAAAACGAGAATAATAAATCTTTGCGTTTTCAAGAGTTGTAAGTTGTTCAAGTAGTGTAATGCGTATATACATTAAATATATATATCTTGAGTGTGAAAGAAGAAATTAATCTGTACTATATAAGCAGAAATACAAAACAAAAAAAATGACATTTTCGAGATCATAGTGTGTGCGCTTGATGTATTTCTAATTTTATTTAACAAAAATCTTAATTGTTTTTAATCTTTTCTAATATGATGTAACAAAGACAATCTTTATATTACGTACATTTTTTAAAACAACATATCATCACTAGAAATAGAAGATACCATTACTATTTTTGCCAGATATTAAATCAAAAAATTATTCTTAGTTATAACAGACATGGTATTTTTATCACATAATATCTATCTCTCATCGATTACGCTAAATTTAACCTTGAGACATTTGGAAGTCAATGTAGACAGAGAATAAAATCTACTATACTATACTATTCTTTTATTGATGTATACAAAATACGCCATATTTACTCTTTAGAAATACTATGCTGTCAAATTACATTCAAATTATCGTACACACAAGTCATTAATCCATATCATTTCGGAGCAGAAAAAAATTAATTCAATATGTTGTTCTTCTTCTTTTTTTTTTCTTCACTTTATTGATTAACATTTATCAACAAATTTGCAGATGTTATTTATCATCAGAAAATGAATAATAGTCACAAACCATTAATACTCTAAATTATCAGTCGTTTCATAATATATCTACATAACACAAAAAATGAAACAGTTCTTTTATTATAATTAAACGATTATTAATAATAAATTGAAACAGAACGAAACATACTAGATCATTTATCAAATAGATGAAAAACAGTGTGAAGATCCATAAATCTATCAATATAGACAATATAATCGAAAAATCTTATTAACTATATGTTTACAGTATAATATTTACATTGAACCAATTATTTGATCAGTTGTATAACAACAACAATCTTACGTTCAGTTATTCATCTCTTTTTTGTTTTTACACACTTCTTTATTCTATTAGTGAATAAGTCATGGAAATTACAAAGAACTATCTTCATCTAAAAATCAACGTTTTCATTGATAGTTATCGACTGGCCATAACCTTTATTAACATTTTTTCATACATGTTTATAAAATAAATTTTAGTTGATTATAATAAACATCACTATTTCGTTAATAACATAAACAATAATAGAACGTAAAAATAAAACAAAGTCTATGTGCATTTAGCTTCAATGTTAAGAATCATAAAATTTAGAATATTCAACGTCAAGTATATTTTTATAACTTTTTATTTTCTATTTTTTTAAATAAAAAAATTACGATTGAATGTTTAGCGTGAATCAACATATTTTCTTTTAACTAAAATATAAAGATAAAATAAATCAAAACTAACAAATGACTGTGACAATTTTTTTTTTTTTTTTTTTTTAAATATAAAATATGTTTTTGTGTATGAGAAAAAAACTTAATGTGAGAAAAGAGAATTTAAAAAACAACAACACGATATAGTCATTTTAATAGACAAATTTAAAAAGTTTATTTAAATAATATAGTTTCGCTCTTACTATTATAATGATCATTATGTAGAACATAAGAGAGAGAGAGAATGACTTTCGTGACTAAATTTTGTTTTTTCAAATTTTTACCGTGTAACATGAAGAAAAATGTGTTTTGAGAAAAAAAGATCTGTGTTTTCTCTGTATTATCATCTCGTGCGAAGAAATTATTTCATTGAAGTTTGAATTAATAGATAGATATTTTAAGAATGCAAATCATAGTGATGAAAAATAGAATCTTAGAAAGACAAACTGTTTTTAAAATTTAAAGGAATTAAAAGACTTTTAAGAAGTCATTTTCTACCAAAAACACTTACTCGTCATCATCTCATCAGATATTATCAAAAACAATATGAATTCTGATAGTAGACACGAAGAGCTATCTGATAGATAAGAAAAACATCAACCATTTTGAGATAGTTCATATTTTTCGATTCTATAGTGAACAAATTTCCTTATTATCTTACCGTAATTCATTTTGAGATTTAGAAAACTCCAGTTCATTCATAAAATAAATAAATAAATAGATAAAATTTTAGAAATAATGATCTATAAACAAAAGATACATTGTATAATTGTATTTCTCTGTAAAAATAAATGCTTAAGATTCTAGAAAATGGATAGATGTACGACTATTTCCATCTATATGTGATTGACTTATATCTCATAAAGTTCGAAAGCTTAACGTATCACATAAAAAAAAACCAAAATACTCAAAAGATATTTTACTAAGATTATACTACCAATACCTATATAAATAAATGACCTCTTTAACCCATGCTATTTCCATCATATCAACGGATATCTAACTTAGTGTCACTTCAAATTAAATCTATCATACATTTTCTTTTTAAAGTACTCACAAGTACATTGTACAAGGTGAACACATTTTTTAAATTAGGAAAAAGATGTTCTATCTTTATTCTGATGAAAACTACTGCCAAGGAAAAAAAGGTTTTCTTTTAATGAAAAAATGCGTTCAAAATAAAACATATAAAAAAGAAAATTAATCATCATAGGGTGGATGAAACAAGACAAAATCAAAATGTAAAAATATACTTATACTTTAATAAGTTATTATATAAACGTAGACGCGGAATAAATATATGCTTGCTTCTTAACAAAGCACCACAATATTCAAAGATGGATGAAAACGATTGAGAATATTTCATATGTCCTTCGTAAAGATTGACATAATTAATGATTTGTTTTCTTGTCGACCTTCTTGCAAGATTCTTGTTTTTTACCATTTCAGATTGAAGAATCTTTGTAAATATATCAAATTTATCTCAAGAATCTTGTATAAAACTACTTTTGTTGTGCAGTTAGCCAAAAATCGTATTCTTTCTTACTTGAATTTAGAAGATAGCAATTTCTTGCACGAATTTAAACGAAAAATATAATGTAAATATGTAATCCATTTTTAGTTGTTGTTTTTTTCTTTTCATATACATACGTAAGAGGAGCTAGTCTTTTTGACGCTAACCTATGCACATGTAAAGATTCGACTGTCTTTCGCTTTAAGATTTAAAAGAATTTCTGTGGACACTTATGTATCATAATGGTGAGTTGTATATTGTATGACAATCGACGAAACAAATTAGTAATACTATTATTAATAACTTTTGTCGCTTAAATCAAGAGTCGTTTCTCGAAAATAGATGATCAGAATATTAAAACAAGAATCTTGACTGATCCATGAAGATAATTTAAAGATTCTTGTCTGACATGGCAAACAGGAGACAAGATTCTTGCAAAAAAACATCGAGAAGAGACTGTACTAGTGTGTATTTATACATATAATATATATGAATGGAAAAGAAAATTAAAAAGAAGCATAGAAACATATTGGTAAAAGAAAACAATATATGCATGTGCACACCTTTTTTCAATATTCCAAGACGCTTAGTCTATTTCGACAACCGACAGTTATAAGCAAAAAAACTTATTAATTTCGAAGATACTTGCCAAAGCCAGGTGTTCCAAAGAAATGGATACGGATATAATAAATAAAATTTACAAATTTACACCGAAACTTAGTCTATGACTTTTTATCTGATCAAACAAGCAAATTGCACTTCAAAACATGTGTTCTGTCGAATCATAAATGCAATTATTATCTGCCTTTAGCGTTTATCAACAAGTGTCTATATTAAATTATACCTCAGAGAGAAAAAGGGAGAGAATGGTTTATTTTTAAGAAAGAAAAATGACAGAAGACAACGTTAAGATGACAACTAGAGAGAGAAATAGATGTCATTGTCAAAATAGCTTATCAAAAGTATAAATTGAAAGATTATTGGCAGATCCTGAACGAGTGTTAGTATTAGGTATTTTAATCGATCTGTAGATTTTAGAGTAGTTTACTACTCTAGATCTATCATGTGAAGAAATAAGTTTCTTTTTGCAAGTTTTTGTTAAATCATGAACAATTTGAAATCAACATAAAACAAAAGTTATCAATGCACATACCAGAATTTTGCGTATTAAAAACTGATCGACAAATAACTGACTGATAATATTAATGAGGAAAAAAATAGTAGTCATTTAAACAAACACGAAAAACAAATGGCAATTATGTAATACGATTTTTCTGTCTAAAATTCATTACTAATCAGACTGACTTCTTAATAACTGCTGCACTAGTCTGCTTATTAAAAAAAACATATGCCACTATATCGATAAATAGAATTAATAATAATAGTTTATCACGTACAGATATGTCACAGTAATTGTTAATAAACACGAAATCGGTTATTCAACAATGCAATGGGAAGGTTTTGGAAAAGCGTATCTCAATAACGTCCAATAATCAATAAATACGTCAGTTACAACAAAAAAACACACCAGATTTTCTAAAGACTTTTTTTAAAGAAAACTGCTAATGTGCTACCTAACTAGTACTGAAGGAAATTGCGAACTTTTAATTTATTTTGGTAAATTCTTAAGGTGTCAACCAAATGAAATTATAGTAATGAATAAAAAGGTGTATTTTATAGGTAAATATAACGTACATTTTTTGGCAAAAAAATATATAATTTATGGCTCTTGTACCTACTCGCTACAATTTTAGAAGCGTATGACGATACAAATAAAGAACAATAGCAGAATTGAATGAAGAGATACACTAAGTTTAAAGGTGAGCGTAATCTGTGGGGAAAAAATGACTGTTCCAAAAATGTTTCTTTTTACCTCATTTTTATATACAAAAAACAACGTAGTAACGCTCTAATTATCACATTTTCGAGAAAAAAGTAATGCGAAGTATACAGTTATACTGTATAATTGTTTTCAATTTGATAGAATTCTGTAGAATAACTAACAATATCTTTGAGAAATTGTGGCGTGGAAATGTACACTTTACTCTGAATCGTTCAAGTCAGATACAAACATGGATAGAATGATAGAAGAAAAATAAATCAATAGATTACTAAGTTCTCTGCGTTATAAAGATGAAAAAGGTAATTGATAGAAGACAACATACAGAATCATGCTTTCACAGATCAAGAATGCTCTATCAGCATTATACTGGAAAGTCTAGTCCTGCAGAGGACAAAATCTTCGTCGAAACTGACTTCGTTTAAATCCTTTTGAATCGAAGATTGAAAGGTTTATTATACTAATTAAGCTCAGAATATTCGAGTTGTTAATGGAAAAAAGCATTCATCCTGTACTTCATTTCTCTGTGTATGAAAATTATTTAGTCACATTTTTAAAGATTCATCATAATCATAATATCCAATTCTTGGTAAAAGTTCTATGAGTCATGACAAATAGAAAAAATAAACGCAGTTTTCTCTGCTACTTTTAGCAGACAGTATAAAAACAAAAATCTTATCACTCTGAACCTTATACGTTCTGTTTATTTTCAACAAGATGTTCAACATAAACAGAATAATATTAATTTAAAAACTGAAACTAAAACTATCCATCGATACATTACCGAGTATGTGTACAAATGAGACTTTGTTTTTGGCAAACATTTTTGGTTCTTCTGTTAGAAAATAATAAAAGTAATAGAGAACGATGAGCTTACAGAAAATTTGTATGTTTGTACTCTACTAGCGTATAAAAGATATACAGTCGACATTATTGTACTGCGTTTGTGTATAAAGAACGAAGCAAAAAAAAAAAGCATAACAGAAAATTCTTTTTTCTCATTACACATTAATCTACTATGATAGTATTTATAAGTAGTAACGATCTTTCTATGCTGAATAGACTTACAGAGAGTTTTTCTTCTTATTTTCTCAAATTCTTTCCGTTAGACGCTTCAATACAATAGTAAAAGCAGGAAAAACAGAAAAGCGATTATCCTTAAAAAACCTTTTCCTTGATCAAATAATTCAACAGTTAACTCTGCTCTTCGTCTGGACCAGACGAAATTTATTTTCAATCATAACGTACAATGGCACGTAGACTATAAAAGAAGTTTTTTTTGATCGATAATCAAGTGGCATTACAACACTTTTCATTATATTTTTTCGTATCATTCAAAGCACTCGAATAAAACAAATAAAATAGATTATACATTGTGAAAACCGAAAATCTAATATGACGATGTCTTGCTTAACTAACAAAAGTTAGATAGCAGCATCATGAGACGAAATTCGCGTTAACTGAACTTTTTAGCTATTTCTCACGCTTTAGTCGAAATATATAAACCTTTGTTTCTTACTGTATTGATTTGGTCATTGTACTAGTAGAATAAAGTCTAATCACGTTCCACTGGCGTCTTTATATATACATTTTCAGAGTCTTGTTGTTTATTTTACTCATTCTGACTCATTCATTACAATAAAAGAAAAAAAATGATTCGTTTTCTTCTCTCCATCTGTTATTGTGTACCAGCTGGTTATTAGGCCTTTTAGTAATAATACGGCACGTAAATCAAAAAATAATTTTCATCTTCCAGATATTATTTTGTTGTTTACATATAGTATGGAATGAAAAAAATTCAATTTTTTTCTACATAGACTTGTGTGGAGGAGTGGAAATAGAATGTTGGTGATTGTTAATGTTAATCAAATTACTGTTCTGTAAAAATACAAAACAGATTAAAAAAAAACTTTTAATCAAACCCAATCTGATAGAATCCATTTGGGAATTCTATCGCGGTCATGAAAGCTTCATAACAGAAAACACTAAACACGTACCATTTACAAAAGCCAAATGCGAGGCGGTTGAGTATAGTGACTGACTAGATTCGATTAAATCAGTTTATTTTCATTATAAGCCTTCAAATAATAACTAAAATCTGTTTATTGTATCCAGTATAATAGAGTTTTCTCTAATATTTCTGATAAAAACAAGTAAAACGACATCTTACTCATTGTAACATTTTTTTAACTTACGTTGTGATTGTACGCTGAATTGTTAATAGCAGACACATACGTATTTCTCGAGAAAGAAAAGTATCTATCTCATCTTTTTTGAACGTAGTCAGTTATTACACCGTACACAAAAACGTCACAATAGATAAGATGTCATTTTATTTGTTTTCATTAGTACAACAGAAAAAACTCTATTCTGTTGGATTCAATCTATTTCTTCTACATTACAACAGCTCGCGATAAGATTAAAGTTTTTGTCAGAAACCACAAGAAAGAATAGATTAAAATTTAGCAAATCAAAAAATGGTCGAACTGTGTAAAAACTATTAAAATGATTGAAAAAAATATATTTATTCTCTTTAGAGATTATCAGTTAAACCAGTATAGAAACAAATATAAGTGTACGTACGTACAATTTAAAATAAAAACTAATAACAAAACAATGAAAACACGGAAAATAGTGTTACTTCTCTAACAAAAAAAAAAATGGATGGCATGACAAAAAAAAAACCCACCTGTCGGAGTGGATAAAGTATAATTCGAAAATAACGCTATTCCATTCCCTTTTTCCAAATAAAAATAAAGGCGCGCATAATTATTAGAAAAACATTCCTACTTCACGAATAGATGTATAAAAACAAAAAAAACTTCAGGAATTCTTTCTTATCAAAATATCGGATTTCTTCACGAATGTGTAGTAACATTAAAGCGTATGTGTCGATGTAATTTTGGCCAGAAACTAAAGCAAATAGCGCGGGTCCTGTGCTAGAAATTTACATCAACAAAAAAGTGTGTATTTTTAATGACCAGAATGAGAAAATTCTTCCCAATACAACACTCTTCTAACAGCTAAGTATAACATGCCAGATCTCAAACTTAAAAAAATAGTGAAAAACGTGATATATACAGGGCTAACCAAAACAAGATACACGTCCGACTCTCCAGAATCGTCAAATTTTATGTGAATATAGACCTATTCATTCGTTGATTACTCTACCAGTATAGACTTCTTTTATTGGATAATTTGTGAGGTATAAGTATTTCATTTCTCGCTAGTAAAATGTATTTTACTAGCGAAAAAATAAAATAAAAACTTTTTCTTTTTGTGTATGACTCTCGTCTATCTACAGTATGATGAATTTAATATGCTTTCTATTTATAATAATTGAAATACAGATATTCTACGATCGATGAAGATGCAACCTTCTTGACTATGTTATAACTGTCTGTTTTTTGCCATAGACTTGTATAATGATGACGCATATTAACTTGGAAAATTAACTTTGTGATAGAAAGTAAGATTCTCAGTTCATCAAAGTCAAAATAATGTTTCCAGGCTCTATTGTAAAACTGTTTTGAAGAGAGTCTCGAATTTCATAATTGATTATCGATCGTAGAATATTTGTATTTCAATGATCATAAATAGAAAACATATTAAATTCATCATACTGTAGATAGACGAGAGTCAGAGCTATATTATACACAAAAAAAAAAAGTTTTCATTTTCATTAGATCAGCATTTTAGTAGCGAGAAATGAAATACTTATACTCACAAATTATTCAGTAAAAGAAGTCTATATTGGTAGAGTAATCAACGAATGAGTAGGTCTACATTCACATAAAATTTGACGGTTCTGGAGAGTCGGGCGTGGATCTGGCCAATACTGTTTGTAGTTTTCAAAAAATCTAAATCGATTTTTCCTGAGGTGCAAACGTCAATTTCTCGCGTGAACACTATGTATAAAATCGTAGAAAGAATTGATCTTCGTCAATGAGTACGAGGTGTAACATGCAGCTCCATTATTGAATCGGATAACAAAGTTGAACTATTATTGTTTGTTGATCTGTTTGAGGTTGGTGTATACCCGGAAGATCCAAGCAAAAAATCTGCACGACGACTAATATTATCACTGGCTTCACCAATCAATGTTGGTCGAATGCTATTGGTTTCCTCCTCACTATCATCATCTTCAGTATCAACGGAACTATCTGAGTCAAAATTACCCACATATCCCCGAACGGTAACACCACTATTTGATTCATTATTTGATCTCCACGTTTGATAATTAGATGCACCTAACACCGGTCTGCGCACTGGCACAGAATCGTCGATTATTGATCGATTCGAGAGAGGTAGTTGTGAGACTTCGATTTCTTCTCCACCATCAGCATCGGAACGTGAAATATTATTTTCGTCATTATTACTAGAAGCAGTCGCTAGAGGGACTAAGATTTCAGCTTGAGGTGGTGATGTACCCGTAACAGATGAAACCATTGGTCTTAACGATGGAACGATATTCGCATCTGATGTTATTCGAATGGCATGCGAAGACTGTGGTGCGGTAGTGACAGTAGTTGATGACGAGAGCACTTGAGATTGATTTTCTGGATCATCTCGCCTAAAATGCAAATAAACGAGAATATACCATCAAGTCAAAAATATAAAACTGAAACAACACACACATAAACGAGTTATTTTTGCTGATAAAGCTACTCTGAATTGAAAAAATAAGAGTGTTTAAAACGCGATGATAGACAACAGGTATTCAGGAATATTATTTTCTGAAAAAAAATACTTCACACAAACCTTTGCCTATCATTTAACTTTAGACCAGCAACGCCTTTTTTTGGTGCAGTTACTAAATCATATTTAATTCTTCGTCGACGTTGTGTTTCGTTCTGTCTATACTGCAGCATATTTTCAAAATCAATAACGTAAACAAAGCCAGCTATTAATAAATCTATATTTCGTTGGCCGTTCATAAATGCTGCATCTAAATCTGTATTTGTTCGTTGATCGTACTGCCACCATCCACCACGTCCTTCGTAATACCAAACATGACGAGGTGTCGTAGTGTCAACGTTTGAATTATCGGCTATTGTCAGTGCGGTTGTTGTTGTCGTTGGGGTTGAAGATTCAATAACATCAGGTCGATCAAAATACTGTCGTGGAAACGGTTTTCTAAATGAAAAAAGTCATTTATTACTCTTCGAATCAAAATACGGTAGTCTTCCATACCTTACCTGCACAGAGCACAACTATGGTTTAGATTTGCGGCTCCTTTCGTGCACAAAAAACAAAATATGTGGCCGCATGGAAGACGTACGGGGTTAACAAACGGAAGTAGACAGACAGGACAATTGTCAGATCGAGCCGTTCCTTGATCAGCATTCGAACACATATCGATAGCTTATTAGTACCGTCTAAAATGAAAATCAATGAGTACAAACACATTGATTCTGATCGTCTTGTTGAAAATGTTTATAGTTATAAAATCATCAAAGAATTACCTTTTCTGCACTAATCACCTCTCTTTCCACCTTTGTTGAGACTTATCAGTAGCTTAAATAAATAAATATCATATCACACAGAAAATCAACAATAATAAAGCAATGTTTCTAATGAGAATCTAAAAGAAAGCGTAGATTTAGCTTCATATATATAGTACACAACGTTCACAAAACATAAACCGCATCGCTGATAAAAGCTAATTTGTGTTGTTACTGACTTATTTGACGCTGCTTTCATCTTTTTTCCTTATGTTATAATCAAACTGAAATTCACTCTTACGTGTCTTGCATTCCTCTTTTTCCATCACACAGCAATCAAAACCAGGTCTCTTTGCTTCAAATAGATGTTAAACTCAGAAAGGGACTTATATTGACTCGCATAGTCGAACGTCCATTCATCCATCAATCACAAAAAAGAAAGAAAGAAAGAAAAAAGAAACATGTAGATTGGCACATCAAACACGAATAAAAAAAACACGCATAAATGTTTAGTTTTCTTTCTGTTTTCAGTGTTTTCTTACTTGGAAAATTTATTCTTAAAATACAAAGTGCTTAAGAGTTCATGAAAAAGCGGAAAAGAAGATACTTCAGTATAACATCAAGTCACTGTCATGATATCGACCCTGTTTATGGCCAGAAATTTTGTATAAAAATATAATATGAACTCCTATGTTTGTGTACAGATTCTTTGTATTCTAGCTGAAAAAACCAACATACTCTGCAATGCTCATCGTTCTAGAATTCTGATTTTGCCGAAATTTCACAGATAAGAAAGAGAAGAGGAACGTGTCTTTGATCTGGCTAAGTGTACTATTTGATACACAGTCTAGAGTTAGATTGAGATATGGTAGCACGAGTATAGAAAGGCCTTTAAGATTTCCAGAGCCGTTTTAAGAAATTTGTGGCCCCTGTGCTGATCATTAACGTTTTCAACCCATCAACTTGTATTTTGTTTAATAATAACAAAATGCAAGGCTTAAGCCGTTCGATTGGGCCCTGAGTCAACCGGGCCCCTGTGCTATAGCACAATTAGCACACAGGATAAGAAGGCACTGAAGATTTCCACAGTTACAATAATCTTAGACAGATTTTCGCTATAGAAGATAGTTTAAATAACTTTGAACTCATTTTTTTTTCTGCAAGACAGTAAAGAACGTGTCTCAGTATGTGATTAACATGAACATTATGATTCCGAAATTTAGTACGTATGCAATGGTATCGGGTGGTTCTCCATACAGTCTCAACCATTTTGAAATCCTTTTGCCAAAAGAAGCGCCGCAAAATAATTTACAGAATCATACCTAAACTTTAATCTCAGAACTTCGATCAGCAAAACTACACAGATTAGACGAAAGGCGAAAATAATGGAAACTTTGTAAATTTGATATTTTTTTCGAGTTGAACTTTTTCTCCGCTATTAGAAAAAAAGTGGAGCAAAAATGAGAACTCAGTTTGTTTTGTACTTTAGAATGTGCACTGTTTCATGGTCTGTAAAAAATTTCTTTAGAGCAGATGGTGTGCTCAAGAACGAAGTTTCAGAAATTGACAATCTCTTGTTTCTAACAAACACGAAACGGAAAACATGATCGAACTTTTGATTTTGCAGTTAGGTAGAGAAGAGCAATCATTTATGATTTAAAAAAACAAATCAAAGTGTAGCGAAAAGATAGAGCGAAGTCAGGGCTACAAAATGGCTAATTCAATCAAATCGTTAACACAGGAAATCGTTTTTGAGTTTAGGAAGTTTTCATATTGTTTCACTTTTCGTCTAATCTGCGTAGTTTTCTTGTTTGAAGTTCTGAAATTAAAGTTTAGATATGGCTCTGTAGAGTATTTTGCGGCGCATCTTTTTGTAAAAATATTCAAAATGGTTGCGACTAGGCAGAGGTCTGAATTTTGAAGGGGGTGTACACCACCCGAAAATAAAACTTTTTCGTATTCTCCCAGCAGAATTAAAAAGCCTTTTTTGTGTTTTTGGTCGTGCAGCGAAAAGGTTTTTGTTCACACCGCCCCAAAAACGTTTCTGCTGCGCGAGCTATCGAAAACTGTTTACAGTCCGTGAGACCAGAGATACCAGATCCAAAGCAAGAAAATCAGAAAAACCTCAGAAAAAGAAGTTGAAAATCAGAAAATGAATAGACTTCTTAATAAAACCGAGCAGAAATGAGGCAGAAAAGTTTCAAAAATCAGAATTTTTCTGCCATAATCAGAAGATCTGGTATCCTTGGTTGAGACTGTATGGCAGAGTTGTAACCGAACCGGTTGAAATGGTTGGACCGGCCGGTTTTCACCGTTTTTTACCGGTCTAAAGAAATTTTTTAGTCATAAAACTCCCTGTAGTCCCCCTCAGGATTAAGTCATAAAATGAATTTTACAATTTTCTAGATATACAATTTTTTTCAATAAAATATGTCGAGAGCAAGTTTAAGTTCTTTTATCAAAGATAATCATATTGTTACAAAAAACATCAACCTTATTTTCTTCAATTTGTCTAAACTTTTTCATTTTTTTAATCGAAATGTTTTTAA